TGGGGAGGAAGGCAGCAAATCACACTGCCACGTGTGTTCCTATGCAACAATTTTGCATGTTCTTCACATGTACCCCAAAACCTAAAATGCAATAAAATAAATAAATGGGAAAAAAAACAACATATAATGTATAATGACCAAACAAGGTAATTGGTTGTCAATTTTTTGTGTTAGGAACATTCCAATTCCACTCTACTAGTTCTTATGAAATATACAATCAATTATTATTAATCATAGTTGCGCTATTGTGCTACTGAACACTGCATCTTACTTGTATTTTTGTACCCATTAACCAACTGCTCTTTATCCCTCACTGCCTCTCATTTTCATGTGAATATAGTATCCCTACATCGGATAAGACTAAACAAGACAATAATTTAAAGTAAGGGATTCCATTACAAGTTTACATTCTTGTTATTTTATTTTGAAATAATTTTAGACTCAAAAGAAGTTGCAGAAATAGTGCAGAAAGCTCACATTACCCACATGCAGCTTCTTGCAAGGATGACATCTTACTCAATTATATTAATATATAAAAACCAGAAAACGGATAATGGCACAGTACAATTAACCAAGCTAGTGAGCTTTTTTTTTTTGGCCAGTTTTTCATTTTTTCATATGCACTCATTTCTTCAGTGTATAGTTTTATAAAATTTTATCACATATATAGATTCCTGTCATTTACATATATTTTTTAAAAGAGAAATCACTTCTTCCTTATCAATATCTTCGATCTTGAGGCTGGAATGCATTTCAAAAGAGACAGTATGACAGCATATATGATACTCCAGCAAGTAACAACAGCGATGCCCACCACACCTGTGTTCCGGAACAAACAGGCACATCTTTAATGAGAGAGGCCTTGGAGCATGACACACAATAATAAGAGAAACTGATCTCAGTAGAAGCTCCCTCTAAACTGCTAACTCTCAAAATAATACCTCCCTCCCTCATTACAGACACAACTGTCTTCTTGGATGTCTAATCATTATTTGGATCTAACACATCTGAAAAGAAACTCAGCCTATAGCACCCTCTCTCCAACAGCCAAATGCACTTTCACCTCTGCAAATGGCAAAGCCATACCTAGTTGCTCAGGTAAAAAAAAACCTCAGAGTCATTCTTCAATTCGTTCTTTGATTCATCACCTATATCTGATGTATCAGCAATTCCTGTTGGCTCTACCTTCAATGTATAGATTCAATTCAACCACTACCCACTACCTCTACCAGCATCCTTGCAGTCTCTAAGAGTGTGTGTCTATGGACCAATTACTAAGCCTCTGTTGGCCTCTATGTCCTCACTTACAACTTTAAAATTACACAGGAATCTTCACCAAAGAGTTGTGTTAAATGAGATAATGCATATATCCACTAAAAATTAGCTGGGCGTGGTGGCATGCCCATGTAATTCCAGCTACTCAGG